TAGGTAATATCATAGACGTATTAGGAAGGTGAGCTATTTTCTGAACTCAACGTACTAGTCCAGCAGTGATAAAAGCTGGCTTGCTCAGGCAGAGCACCTAACACCTGGCAAGTCTCTCATTTGCTCACTGGCTTTTTTACCGACTCATGGCCTCCTCATACTGCTTTTAGGCTTTGTTTTCATGGAATTTTCTTTGCATAGCTACTCGTGCTGTCCAGCCACTGTTGCTGCAATGTTTTGACTTTCTATTTGTCTATTTTTTTGGTACAAAAGGACAATGTAAAAAAACAGTCTCCAAAATACTAAGACAGGAGCACCTCAGTTGGGCATCAAATCCTCGGGTACTCTTTCCTGTGGCTTCGTGTTTATACTAACACATCACCCCCTTCATTTGTCTTTCTCTCAGTTACTTTTTCACCCCAACTTTGCTGCCAACATTCATCGTTGATGCACTTGTATCGCGATACCTCTAAATTTGGCTTGCAAAAATACATCCTTTTATGAGAATTTTTCCTCTGTCGTTACTGTTCACAGTGCTGTACGATATTCTGCCTTTAAAAGCTTTCTAACTATTTTCTCATCTTTCAGATCTCAAATAAGCGCATTCATCCGCCAAAACGCAAAAATCCCTCAGCAGTGCTTAATCGTTTTCATATTCAAGGCCCCGTTTTTGCCACTCAGTGTATTGAAGTGGCAAGATTGTGTCACCGTACTGAATCCATTTTTCTGTGAAAATGCGAATAAGGGTGATGGGGAGTTCTTATATCCTGGTGTAGTTATTCAAAATCCATAATATGTACACCAAGTATAATTTCGTTATGAATTGATTCACCAAGCCGATTTGGGTAGTAATTTCGATAACTTCTTCAACTGAACTTCTTGGACAAGACGACTAAATGTACGCGACGTCATCCACCGTTTCTAGGAGTTTCCTTAGCCCACTCTATCCAATTGGAAGAAAACCGACGTGTACGCAGCTACTACTCTGCTACTATACCGTTTGTCGTGATTTAGACAGCAGATCACAGCTCAGAATAGTAATGTGGGAAGCTTTTTCACTGGCCATGATACTGAGCTATACCATGAGTTAGGATAAATACAAGCATTGTACAATCTCGCTTGATCCAAATGTGGTAGAGTAGGCATCACCTACTTTTCAGTACGGCTCTTTGCAAAAGCTTTTCATTTTTAGCCTTTTGTGGATGGAATTCATGAAGTTAAACATATAATAAAAAATGCACACTTTAATCATCGCGGTGGTCAATAATACATTTTTTGCTAGGTAAGCCTATTATAGACCCAATGATACTTTTTAAAAAACTTCATTGAAAATCCGAGGTATACAAAGTAATTTTCGATCAATGGCTTCTTTGAATGACTATCACACATAGACATTCGTTTGTGTGTATGCATATGGTTGGATTCCATGTAGATTGGGGGCACCGTGAATTACGTCTAACAGATTCGTAGGAAGTACATAGTTTGAGTCAGAAGAAATTAACCTGAGGTATATCGCGAAGTATTATAAGACACTTGCTCTCGAGAAAACTCTTGAAGCCTTTTGGATAAAATATCCGTGAAGTCGTGCACGCTACGTCAACCGACGTCAAGCTAATTTGTTCTGATTTAAGATATGTGCATTCCTACCTTACCTAAGGGACTATTTGCTTCGGACGACTCGCCTTGACAAGCACTGTGCGGATCCCAACACTTCCAGCACCAGAATTCGCTTTCTCGCTTGTATCCTCCACGAAGGTCTTAAAACATTTAGCGTGTTGTTCCGGCTGCTGCTAAGGGATATCGTCTTTTTATGAATAACGTAAGTACTAGCCAAGTAAAATCTCCATGCTGTTTCAAAAGAATCTAAGCTAAGGTGTTCCATAGTGCGCTCGATCATTGATCTGGGGTTACGAGAGTAATAAGCTGAGTACTGCCATTCATTTTGACAAATTCAGACTGAGGAAGGCGAAACCCCCAAAATGTTACCTATTGTATAACTGTTTCAGTGCATTATTGTAATGAATGAACACTTTTATTCATAACTTTCAAAGGGAGGAAAAGAAGAAGAGGAGGAGAGATTGGCAAGCGGTGTAGCCGAGTGGTTGTAATGCACTCGTCGAGGGGCGAATTATTTCCCTCTTCTAGTACTCTACAGCAGTCAACAACGAAAACAGTATGAAACGCCACAGCCAGACTTTCAAAATTGCAGAGTATTTAATCAATACTCCACGGCGTCGAAGAAGAACGAATAACAAAATGAACGTTAAAGGTATTGGGATCCGCACAATGCGAAAAAAAAATTGTGAGACAGGTCAAATAAATCAAAAATGAGTAATGAATTGACGACCTCCACAGATCACTCGCATGAGTGATCTCTGCTTGGTCAGTCGCATAAGCCGCGCGACACGCTTTCAGGTGATGGATAGAGGATTAAGGCACTTATAGCTTTCAAGAGGGCAATGGAGAGAATCATCCACGGTTAGTACTCAAATTTCTCTAGTAGCCATGTTCTCTTACCGTCATATCAATTGAAAGAGGATTAATTGTTTATTCCACCGGTTTTTCCTTCCCAAATCCGCTGCGCTATATTGCGGTGACGAATAGAACAACACCTAGCCCACGTAGAATAAAATCTGATCACCTAAAGAACCTACGGCCAGTTCTCATCAACACCCTGGCTCGGCTCTTCACTCGCTACCTGTCAGATGCAAGGCCACCATTCAACGGAAAACTAGCAAGACCGTATTGTTGTTCAAAAAGGGAGACCTTCACGACATAGAAAATTATCGCCCAATCTGCTTGCTAACCGTTGTCTATAAGCTCTTCACTCGAGTCATCCTGAAAGAATCGACAGAACACTGGACGACGGGCGGACATGCTAACAAGCGGGTTCCGAAAAGGATTCAGTATTATAGACCACATCCACTTATTCTCAGGACTCATTGAGGTTTCGCGAGAGTACAAATACCGCTCTGTTACACTTTCGTCGATTTTAAGAGAGCCTTTGATTCAGTGGAAACAGAAGCGATTATTGAGGCCCTGACAACCAGAGCGTCCCTACTCGGTACATAATAATCTTTCGTGAGCTTTATAAAGATTTTACGACCAAAATATTTCCATTCTACAACAATATCACCATTGACTTAAGAAGGGGGTTTGACAAGGCGATACAATTTCGCCCAAATTATTCACTGCCACCTTCCAAAACGTCATGCGAACATTAGGATGGGGCGACATTGGAATGAAAATTGACGGTAGACAATTGAGCCATCTTCGCTTTGCTGATGATATCGTCCTCATAACACCAAATATCAGCCAGGCGGAATGAATGTTGACCGATTTCGACAACGCCTGTGGAAAGATTGGTCTTCAACTGAATCTAACGAAAACAATGTTCATGAGGAACGGATGGGTTTCTAATGCCCCATTCACGCTCAACGGAACAACAATCTTTGAATGCTCCAGTTATGTCTATCTAGGTCGTGAAATCAACTTGATGAACGACCTAGACAGAGTTGAGCAGGAGCAAACGAGCAGCTTGGGGAACTTTTAAGAGAATCGAACATGTAGTGAAGAGGACAAAGAACATCCGACTCCATGCCCACCCTTTCGAATTGACGATTATCCCTGCCCTGACGTAAGCAGCAGAAACCTGGTCGGTACGTAAGCAAGATGAAAGATCACTTGTCGTTATTGAACGCGCAGTCGAAAGGTTGATGCTAGGAATATCCCGTATCTCGCAAATGAAAGACAGGATCCGAAGTTCCGACCTACGTCAACGATCGGAGATCAAAGACGCCGTTCTACACACCAGGATATCGAAAATGAGGTGGGCCGGACACATAATGCGCTTCAATGACACCCGATTAACGAGAGCCGTTACCAAATGGATTCCTTGGGATGTCAAGCGCTCCACGGGAATACCATCAGCCTGATGACCCAATTTTTTCACGATAAGTCCAGAAGAAGAATTTTATTCTCAACAAGTTTCTTAAAGCGACGAAGGCCCAGTGGGCTTTTTGCATGCGATAGGCAAAATGGAAGTGTTGCTGGTGCGCGCTCGAATCATTCGACAATCAACGGTACAACTGATGATACAGTTGATATACTTTTTAAAAATATAGGCTCATGACTGTTCTAAAGAAACAGCTTTTTAAACGAATAGTTTCTAGGTTTTGACACTCAAAGATGTTGAGTAATGAGGAAGGTTTTTGACCCTAGGCGGATCTTGAATCCGCGTTTCACCCATAACAGGGATATACCGGCGAGACCACCACTCTGTCATTGTACATCAATTAGATCCTGCCAAACTCTCAAATGGAATTATTGCTTATTCACAAGTGACTTGACATAGTGGTTATTCAAGTTTGTAGCCCAAGTTCTAGTTTCGTAGTTCAAGTTGTGTAGCATATGAGAAAGTGCTCTATATCAGAGTTAGGTTTCCTCTGGTGGAAACGAACAACTTATCACCATCATCTTCTGATCCAAAGCCGTTTTTTAGGTATTCGAGAGCTGGTCTTGGAAACCTTACCATGCTTAATATACGGATATTTGGCAAAATATCTACTTTTCGTCTTGACTCTCGGTTCGACAGGATAGCAAACGTTTTTGTTGGAAACATGTTCTTATTTTGAGCTATGATTACAATTGACTTGCTCTGCAGCATTATAACCAATTTGAGATGGTCAAGCTGGTTAGTCGTAAGGTAGCGGTATTCTCTTTTTCAAAAACGAGTTTTGAAAAAGAGAACATAAAAATAAATCAATTTTGCATGCTGGGAGGATGCATATCGTTCCAAGGAAGTAACCTATAACTTAATATACCCAATAGTGTAGAGTGCTGTGCAAAAACATTTGCGTCAGCCAGGATTCGAACCTAGATCTTTTTCTTTCCGGGAGCGTATGCTGACTGTTGCACCACCAACGCTCGTTTTGCACAGCACTCTTTCTACGCATCAACCACGTTATCTGATGGACAGCCAACCTGTGCTGTGCAAGACGAGGTCGGTGGTGCAACAGTTAGCATACACTCCAGTAAAGAGTGAGATCTGGGTTCAAATTCCGGCTGACGCAAACGTTTTTGCACAGCACTCTACACTATTGTATATATTGTACTATCATAACACCTCAAGTGGCGGTCAAATAAAGTCATTTCTGATTGATTATAACGTAATACATAATCTTCTGTGGAGATCGCCAGAGTGAAGCGGTAACTGTAACTTTCGCGCCTCCACGTCTCTGTATTGTTGACGATGGACTGAGAATTATTGGTCATCACGGAAGGAACACGAATATTAAAGCGATGAGAGGATGATATAGGCATTTTTAAACAACGCTTTGTAGCTCAGTAGCAATACGTAGTGAGTATTTTAGCCATGGTTCAAGTAATACGTGAACCTGAAAAGAGACGAAATCCTGGAAAAGGGCCCAGTGTATAAAGTGACTAGCATACGTGAGCATAACAACAAACGTCCGGGTTCATTTTTGCCCTTTCGGCTTCACAGCTTTACTTCCCTCAGAATTTACTCAAGCGAAATGAACGCTACCTTCTGGCTGAGTGGCTAGAAGACCGGAATTGTTCGAGCGACAGATACCTTAATATCATACCAAGCATCGTATTGTTGTTCACGTCGCTACACAGCTTCCATTTAGACCATCGCGAACGGAGGTGTTCAAGCAGTGTTTTTCTAGAATTCTGCCATTGGTTCATGTCATATGACAGTCCTCACCATAAACAGTCTTGGAGAGACACACATATCGAGATCCGCATTCATCGCAGTCTTTTCTTTCAGAAAGCCTAAAGCCTCGAATTTACCTGATTGCTATCCTTTTTTCTAATAGATACACAGACTCCATTTCCTTTTCTTCTCATAACATTCTTACTTTCTACCAGATTTTGGATGCTTCATTCAATAATTGGCATTCGATAATGTCAAACTTACGTCACAATGTTCACCTTCATAATAGCTCGTCAAAATATGGATGAAATACAATATTTTCAGGCAACATGCAGGGACGTGCCATAACTATTTATGGTTAGTTGAGCCTTTATCATATACATATTGAAAATATTTAGCTTTTCAAGCGACATGTAAATATTCCACATTCTAATGCAAAATATCTTATGCTTTTTCTTGGATTCTGTATTTCGATATTGACGAACATGAAAAATTAATGAAGGATAGGAATTGCCCAAAATAGTAATGCAAGGTATTTGACCATCTATCCAATAGCTGTCAGCGTTATCGGTTCAACACCTAAATGTGCTAAGTAGGGTAGCCCAAATTGTTGGCGGTTGGTTGCTGACAAAATAGATGCCATGTATCGCATAAAGAGTCATAGAAAAACAGGATCCTCGGTAGTGCAGTGATTGGCACGCTTCCCCGGAAAATTCGAAGAGCGAAAACGATTTGCGATCAGTTCTTCAAGTTCTTGTGAACAACTGCCTAAAGAGGAGTGAGTTATAGTAAGGCTAAGTTTCCGGTACATTTTCTACATACTTGTTTTTATTCAAAGTTTTGATTTTTCTCGACAAAAAAGCAGTAAACGTGTTGAGCTTTATACTTTCACTCAAGAGAGGCAGTTAAATGAAGGAACCTCAATGAAAACTCAACCAGTTCTCGAAGAACATAAACATTCGCACTTTCTTGAGCACAAATGCTTAATTTCATGGGAGACAGAACGAAGGTAGAGTTTTTGGCAGTATTTAGCACTAGAGCAAAAGAACGCACGTGTTATAGTGGTTAGAGGTGCTCTGCGTCGTACACAATGTCGACGGCTCGATAGCACGTTCATGACTCACCAAGCCATCTATCCCCTCCGGGACGGGAAATTGAAATGAGACTTGTCTGGGAGGATAAGCACTATGACTCGATGCAGCGCAGGCCACCTTGAGTTATTGTAAAGGCCAGATATGCATTCAATCATCTCAAACAAAGTCAGAATTGAAGACGAATCCATGGCGCATCTCTCAAGGATTGATCAAAACCGAAAGCTTTATCCTTTATCCTTTTTAGAAGTACCGACAGTGTAAACACTGCAACAAAGTCACCACTTGGTGATTTGAAGAAAAGGATTCCTATGAATCAGTGTCTTCACTGCTTTACAAATGAATATTTGTCTTAGGATGGGCACAACAGATATTCATGCCACCATAATCTGAAGAATTTTCAAATTACAGTCTATTTACTTCTGCTATCGACTGCTTTTTTAGAGACCTGCTCAAAATGATTTAGTCTGATAAGGATATGACATATTTTGGGCCATAGGTCTAGTGCTATATAGGCGCCTATTTCGTCCTATTGGGACTCATCAGTAGCACCCTCCCTCGGTTCCGTCGATCCCTTGAGGTGAAATAATCCTCTAAAGGAACCGATGCCGAGTAAAATTAAGCACCCAAAGTAGGATGATGGCTCAAAATATGTCATATCCTTATCAGATTAAATCATTTTGAGCGGGTCTGTAAAAAAGCAGTCGGTAGCAGAAGTATAGTTCATTTTAGAAGCCGTAAGCTCGACTGCCGGTCACCACAAAGTTAGGTAATACCATCATCCTACTTTGGGTGCTCAATTTTACTCGGCATCGGTTCCTTCAGAGGATTGTTTCACCTCAAGGGATCGACGGAACCGAGGGAGGGTGCTACTGATGAGTCCCAATAGGACGAAATAGGCGCCTATATAGCACTAGACCTATGGCTCAAAATATGTCATATCCATGAAATGAAAAATGGATTGGGCTCCGCTCAGCTCGTGAAACGAACCGTCCAAGTATCCAGATAATCACTTCTGTCCTGTGTTTGACATTCCGCATAGATAGATAGTGTGGACTGATTGAACGTCTCCTAATCAGGTGCTGTTGAGGCATTGAAGCTTCAACACGTTACAGCAAAAGAAAAGTCGAGATCAGTTAACATGGAAAAATTGGAAACTTTTTTTAGGCTTCGTTTCACCTAACATATTTGGTATGATGGTTTTGTTAATAGAAATCTTTACACAAAATTTCAGTTTGATGTCGAACTAAATTTCTTAAACAATGCGGCCCTGAAGTTTCAGAGGCTTATATCTTAGTACCGACGCACTGAAACCTCATCTAATAGTCGACCCACCTACCAATAAAGGTGCCTGCTTTGTGACCTTATTGCTTTGGCTTTTTAACTTGCTGGCCATTACTCTCCACAATAAATGAAAACGAATCTAGCAGTCCTCTACAAAATATCTTGATATTGCTTGTCCGTGCTATTCGATCCGTATTAACGGAAACTATACAAGTACACAAATCATGCGTGTAAAATTTTCGTAAAGTTTCCTCCTCTAACTCTTCTCTTTCGTAATAATTTTTTTCCAATTTTAAGCTCTTGTTATGTGTTTTTTGCTTTTTTCACACAGAATTATTCGTTGAATAAATCCTGTTACTTGAAATAGCTGCTATTGTTGAGCTTGTCTTTTCTGCCTTTTGATCCTTGGCAATCAATAGATTTAAATGTGTAAGTTGTCGTAGAGTATATAGCTTCTCATCTACAAAGAAATGTCTCATCCATGAATGGGCAACGTGGTATGCGTTTCGCAAAGGAAATGATGCTAGACGACGATCTGAGCTCATCCAAATAAGGTAAGTAAATGTGCCCATTTTTTAGAAGAACTATTTTTGCTACAATTATACGACTTTGTAATTTCTATTTTGCTTAAAAACTGCTGGAAATTCCAATAAAAAATTTTTCATAGGATTGAATCTTAAGTTTTATCCGATCTTGTTGCAATCTAAAGAGGATCGCTAAACAAAAGCATTGCCTCTGCAACGCGTAGCGTATTGCAATACCTTGGTACTGTGCTTGCCCAATTAATGGATGGACTCAAACCGTAGTGTAGTCGAACCCTTCCATCTTTTTGTTAACAATCGTCATTGAGTATTTTTCTCAGCATGACAAACCACTTTTGGCACTCGGACGGGTCAGTCAGAGTTTACTGTATATGTGGAATCGACATGCAATCAAATGGTCAGAGATACGGAGGTTTCGGGCAATGAAATTAATTCATTATGACTATGATAAAACATTGAATAAACATTCAATAAGAGCTGTACGGAGGAATGGAAGTCGTGTAATGAATTCCTCTCAACTCATAAGGAATTCAAACACGTAGTATAAAAGTCGCATTTACCCACCAGTAAGCCATAGATCTGAAAATTTCTCTCTTGGACCTCTCTTAGTTTGGTGCGATAGTGATAATTTAACCACTAATTTAGTCGTATAAAGCTGCACCGTGGATTGGAGAATCTCAAAGAATGGTCGACATCCAAATGTCTTAGCTTACACTGACTGGCTGTTCTTAATAGCATAACTTTTTGAAATAAGAGCAAAACTCGGAACCTCAAATGAGTCTCGAACTCGTGATCACCCTTTCTGCGAGCTTATTTGCGTCCTACTGCACTGTTTTCGTTATATCACTGTATTATCTCACAGACGTCGACTTCATTTTAACCATTCATAAAATCGAGTTCACGAGAAATATCTCATGTCTCAACTATTCATGAGAGCACTAGAAGACTATTATAGAAAAGCGATGCTTATAATTATTCGAGAACCGCTTTCCTTAAAAAATCGTATACTCTTTGATGATTGAGGTAGTAGCTCAAAGCTGGTACAAACAAACTGATTTGGACTCTTTTTCTTTTGGATGCGAAAAATTTGAGGTAATCATCTGATCAGTGACCTTTCGGTAAGCCCGCATCCCCATGTTTTCTGCGTTCTATGAGTTTTCATTTTTAGACGGCGTACCTACATATAAGGTGTTTTGAGTAGAAAACGTTGTTAATAAAATAACTTTTTTACAAATCGTCCGCATTCCAATTCCCTATAGCTAAGCGCCGAGATCCTTGAGCATTGCCACTGCCCATGAAGCAAAATGAAGACTAGATAGGAAATTGTCATCAATGATATTTGCGTACGACCACCTCTCTAGTCGTGCGATTACATTACCCACTGCAATGCTTCGACTAATAGCGTTGGCGATATGATGCACACTTATGAGTCAAAGAATAGTCCGTTTTTTTCAAGTAGTAGGATGATAATGAGTTAA